TCTCTCTCTCTCTCTCTCTCTCTCTCTCTCTCTCTCTCTCTCTCTCTCTCTCTCTCTCTCTCTCTCTCTCTCTGTGTGTGTGTGTGTGTGTCTTCCCACAACATTTCTTCGCCCGCTCTGCTGCAACGTCGCAGCACAACTCTTTAGTCCCCGCCCATCTTAACCCTTTACCCACCAATCCCCACTGAGTCTCTTTACACACTTTACCCGCCCATCCCAACCCTACCCCCCCTCATCACGAACCTGGCCTTAACCCTTTGCTCTCTGTCGTTCCCAAAAGTTTGGACTCCCCCCCATCCTGACCCTTTCCGCCCCGCCCATCCCGACACTTCAGCCCCCGTCCGTCCCAACACTATCCACCCGCCCATCCTGACTCTTTCTCTCTCTCTCTCTCTCTCCAAGAACGGCAAAGAAGGAGAAGAAGAAGAATAAGCCAACTCTCTCTCTCTCTCTCTCTCTCTCTCTCTCTCTCCAAAAAGAAGAAGAAGAAGAAAATCGACAATAGGAACTAACCTCTTGTGATGGCAGCGACGAGCTCGGCGATGGCGACAGGCAAGGGCAGCATCGGGGGCAACTCTGATAATGGCAGCCACGGCAGCACCTCCGACCTCTGTAATGGCGACGGGCAACGAGACCAAGACGACGGACCGATACACGAGGGGGGTGGAGTTCAAATTCAAACTCTGCGCATCTAAACAGCGGACCCACCCGCGGCGCAGGAGGGCGGGGCTCCCAATGTCCCTCAACTGCCTTTATCTGGGCCGTCCATCTGCTAGATCAACGAGCAATGAAGGCTTAATTTCAAACAAACAAAAACATTTTTTTTCCCCTCACACCCATTCTGTCCAATAGGGCGAGGAAACCCCTACAAGCCGCCAGTGCTGAAAAAAAACCGTAACGGTGTTTGTTTTGTGCGGTCTTGGCGCGGTACCAGCCCGACCTACCTGCCTGACTGGGCCACCCGGGCAGGATCCGTGCCAGCCATGGTGATCCGTGCCACACGACTGCTAGCTCAAAGATAAACTGGAAAACGACCTGATTTTTTTATTATAATTTTTTTTTTTTTGGCATTAGGTATAGCGTACTCAAGGTCAAAAAATAGTTTGGTTTTGGCAAATTGTCATTTTCTGGCCATTCAGTGTTTGTATGTGTGCGTGAGTGTCATTGATTGACCGCCCCCTCATATTCGTAATAGTTAGGGTGGGCTGGGGGGCACACACTCACGCACATACACAGGGGGAAGATCGACGTGTTCCCCCTCCTCTCGCTCGTCGTCATCGTCCCTGTGTTCCTCCACCTTAACCTCCTCTTCTTCTTTCTCCTTCTCTTCCTCCTCCACCTCCTCTTCCTCCTCCCCCTCCTCCATTGCCGTCTTGGAATATTCTTAGTAAGTTAGTGTGGCCGTCTCCCCCCATTCGCATCCATCCATCCAGAAAAAAAAAACAAAACAATGGGTTTTTCAACAGATATAATAAATGGTATTAAATGCAAAAAAAAAAAACAAAAAAAAAACGGTGGGTCCACAATTGTTTTCTATGCCCTTTAAACCCCCCCTCTATTTGGACCCCTCCGTTTTTTATTTTTTTTACTTTTTTTTATTATGTGGGGGTCTGTGTTGTCGCACGTTCATTTTTTGAACGCGTTAAATGTGCGTTCAAAGAACGCGGGTGCACGCTCTGAACGCGAACGCGCAGAGCGCCACCCACG